CACACACACACACACACACACACACACACACAGAGGATGGTCCGAACCACCCGCAAGAGCCAGCATGTACATATTTCTCATAAAAAAGTGAGTCGAAAATGTCAATAACAAAATGTTGTAATATTAATAGTTTTTAAACGGTGTGCGAGCCTTTGAAAACACCCAACCGTAGAACATGAAGTTCGCGCCGTCTGGTGTGGCGTAATTAAGCGACTGGCCGCGCAAACGTTTTGATTGATGGATACCGATAACCGGCACAGTATTGCCGAACGAGTATTACAAAGAAAGAAGCGTGAAATTTCTGTTAACATCTGCGGTATTTTGAAATTGAAATTCAATTTAATCGATGCAAGTAATCATCGTCAATTGCAAATTCGGTACGTCGTTTAACTCAGAATTTTTGAAGGATTTTGAGGACGTTTAAGTAATAAATAAATAAATTTTAAATTTTTATTTCGTTCATTTCATTTCTTAAATATGAAATATTTGTTTATACTAAATACGCATTTCAAATGTGAATTTTTTCTAATATTATTTGTTTGGATAATTTAATTAATATTAATTTTATTTATAAATTTATTTGTTTATATGTTACTTAAAACATATTTCAAAAATTCTTTTTACTGATATAAATGTTTTATTGAATTTGCAATTGATGATTTCTCTCTCTCTCTCTCTCTCTCTCTCTCTCTCTCTCTCTCTCTCTCTCTCTCTCTCATCGATTAAATCGAATTTTAATTTGAGAATACCGCAGAAAATGTTAATAAAAATTTCACAAACCTTTGCAATATTTATTCGGCAATATCGTGCCGTTTAATGCAGTATCTGTCAATCAAAGCGTTCGCGGCGGGTCGCTTAGTTGTGCGAACTTCATGCTCGGTGAATGGATATTTTCAAAGGCTCACACACACCATTCAATAACTATTGATATTATGAACATTTTGCTATTGACACTTTCGATTCATCTTTTCACGAGGAATATGTACATGCCAGCTCTTACGAGTGTGGTCTGAATCACCCTGTATATCTATTAATATCATTCAATTGATTGCGTTTTAGGATTGTCTACGACAATGGGACAGCTATTTCTTTAAAATTGAGAAGATGTTTCTAAATGTTTAGTAACTCAGTCTTTTCTATTAAATATTTTGAACATTTCTCGACATCTCTGTAGAAATATTTTTCGCGAAAAAGTGTTCGTGTAAAAATTGTCGACTCGTTAGAAACTGATTCAAGTATATGAGTGACAGACTTTTATATTGTGTAAAGTTATTATATCTATATATTCAAAAATTAGTCTTTACATTATGCGACATTGTATTAGAACGAACTGTACATACATATATGCAAATTATGTCATCATAAAATGTGCCATCTTATCAGTGTTACAAAAAACTGCGAGATTTATAATTTATATAGATGCTTGTGCACAGGTTACTATATCTTCTTAAATTACGTTTATCATTATTATCTCTCACATGCATAATTCACATAATGAACAGTTTACATATCTGTTTCATTTAAGTGTTTTTAAGTGTGTTTTACGTATAATATCAAAGTATATTCTTTCTATTTATATGCCTTGCCGTTACATTGTGTCAACTTTATTTGCCGCATTTTATTACGAACAGGAAATCCTTTTCCATGCTCGATTCGATACTATAATACAGAAGAGTTACACTTAATGATTTACATTACTATCGTCGTACGCCAAGATGAACTTTGAACCCATAGGACTTGATAACTTTGTACATATTTTAAAGAAATTTTCTTTTCTTTCTACTGGCGGCATTAATATCGTTGAGATATCCTTAATTTTATTTGCGTACACACTATTACTCGTATGGAGAGTAAGAAAACAGATGCGATAGTCGCTGTGCGTTCAATGTTCCACTGTACATACGACGAGTTGGTAATAACTAATCAATATAGCTTCACGTATATTTATTGATTAATAATTCGCACATATATTCAAATACATATCTTTAAAGTCTATGAAATATTTTTACAATTTAGAAATAAATGATCGTATAGAATCAATGAATGATCAATGGAAAGATTGTTTTTATTCTTCGTAACATCAAGTCTTTTCAATTTTATTTTATCATTCTGTTATACGTCGTGAAGCTATATTTGCAATGTAAACGTCATGCAATTTTTCTAATTGATATACAATGTATTGTATATTGTTGACATTTTATATACGTAAACAATTGTATCGACTAAAAGTAATTTTACAAGCAGAGAATATAATTGCTTTCTAAAATAATTTTTAATGAATGAATGTATTTCTGGCAAATTTGTCGGTTTGCGAAAAATTGCATACGTTCAACTTTCATTGAATTGCACTGAATTATAA